AATTAGCACTATATTTTAAACCTAAGTAAGTAGCAGTTTTTACAACTGGTACAACAGTATCAAATAACAACAGTTGTGCAGTTAATGGGTGATTCATTTTGTTCTTTTTAAAAATCATAAGCTTAGATTTATCTGCATTAATTGCAATTTTCCAATTGGCACACCAGGTTTCAAGTTTCGGCATAAATTTTTGAAGTTTCTTAATCGCAAAATTTGGTGACCCAGACTTGACGGCAAAAGCTGTGTCGTCTGCGTAGCAGCCCATGAAAAAATTTGGATCTAGATGTTCTGCAGGTAGATCTGCCACGTAGAATAAATAGAGCACGGGCCCTAAAATAGATCCTTGAGGGACCCCGGCCTGTACTTGCTTCTTATCTGAGGTGCTATCATCAATGTGAATACTGAATGTTCTGTTTGAAAGAAACGAGTGAATAATTTTGATTAACTCAGTGCTGAACTGCAAACTGATTAATTTATAAATTAACCCCTCATGCCAGACGCGGTCGAACGCCTTCGCCACGTCTAGCATGAGTAAGGCAACATATCTTTTGTTGTGCAGTGCACTACCTATGAACTCATTAAGTCTAACCAGTTGCTTTGTCGTGGATAGGGCTTTCCTGAATCCAAACTGTTCAAGTGGTAATTTATCCAGGTGTGGTTGTATTCTGCTGAGGACAATTCTTTCAAGTATTTTTCCCATACTGGGCAGTAGGCTAATGGGCCTGTACCCATCCGTTTTCGTCAGATTCTTTCCCGGCTTTGGGATCACTATCATTTTAGCAGACTTCCATATATTCGGAAAATAACTATTGTACAGGCAAGCATTCAGAATGCCTGTAAGTCGATTAATCATATTTATTGGCAGCCATTTCAGTGCTACATTATTAACATTATCCTGCCCGGGGGCCTTTCTATTCCTGAGCTTTTTAATTATATTCATGATTTCTTGTGGTGAGGTAAGTTCTAAGTGATTTTGCAGGTTATTTTTGCAAAGCCATTCTGACACTGTGAAGTTCACATGAGTTGTAAAATCCTGATTGCATGGATAAGTGTTTGTAATGAATTGTTTTTCAAAGTGCTCAGCCAGCGTATTGCATTTTTCAATATTTGTGAGTGCAATGCCATGCTCATGGTAAATCGGCCTATTAACTGTGGGTTTATTTTTAAGACGTTTTACAAACGACCAGAATGAGCTACTAGGCTCGTTAAAACTCTCAATTTTCTCATCCCAGAGCTCTTTACGGTGGGAGTTTATCTGTTTTTAAAATTTCCTTACCAAGTCTATTCATCTCTTTTTTGGTATCAGGATTGCAAGTGAGATGATACCTTTTCCTGAGCTTATTTCGATCTCTGATGAGACTTTTAATCCTTTGTGGTAACTTATTAGAAACCTGTCTTCTAGGAATTTTTCTCGTGGCCGCATGGTAGGCACTTTGTATGTCATTTGTAAGATGCTTGGTCGCAATCTCAATATCCTCCGGAGTGCGTAAAATACTGTTAGTTTTACATTCTGAGAGAATTTCATTGAAAATTTTCCAGTTAGTAGAATTAATTTGTTCATCCATAATATCTTTGTTTGTGCCTAGGGTCGCAATGACCGGGCAGTGGTCTGAATCTAAATCTTGAATCACCTCTAGATTGAAAGAGAGGGAGATGGTCGAAATGAAAATATCCAAAATGTCTCCTGTATTGGGGTTATTCGGCAAATACGTGTACTCGCTTGGTACATGAAAATAAATAGGGTGATTATTAATGAATTCGGAAAGCTTGATTCCATTTTTATTTGTTCTCCTACAATTCCATTCCTGACTTTTGGCATTTAAATCCCCTGCAAGGATGACTTGTTTATTGATGTCAAGTATTTTTGCGAGATAATTTATATCAAGCATATTCTGTGGAGGATTGTACATAGAAGTGAAGTATACGTTACCATAATGCGGCAGAAATACAGACACAGTCACAATTTCATGCCCATTATGTCGCTCTTCGCAGATCAGACAAGATTGGAGAGAGTTGCGTACAAAAATCGCGACCCCCCCACCTCGGTGACTTAGACGGTCGCATCGATAACATAAATAATTAGGAATCTTCATCGGGGTGCTTGGCGTAGCGAAGGTTTCAGTAATGAGCGCCACGTCAATATTATGACACGTGATGAAGTTTGACAGTTCAGTGAGCTTATAATGAATGCTACGGGCATTCCAAGTCATGATAGAGATGGGAACTTTTGTTGGTCTAGTTTGACCCATTATCTATAGTAGTAGAAGTATTTTTTCTCTTGGTTATTTTCTTTTATTTCTTTGACTTGTTGCGAGATCTGAAATCCCGCATTTTTTATTACGGAAACAAGTTCCGCAAGGTCCGTGAAAACTTGTTTAGCTTCACTCAATATATCAGAGTATAGGCCTGTGGAGAGCGCCTGTGAATAGGATTTATTTTCAATCACCCTACTGGGAAATTGATTGGTTTCTCAGATTTTCTTTTGGGGAATTTCTCACACCCCCTGAAACTGGAAGTGTGGGAACCCCCGCAATTGGCACAGACTGGAGGCTTGTCATTGTTATTTTTATCAGGGCATTCATTAACAAAATGTCCTTTGCCACATCTGACACATTTGGGTGCATAATTGCAGCCCGCTTGTGTATGATTAAACCCCTGGCAACGAAAACATTGCAGGGGTCCTTGTCGACCTAAATACTCTTTGATCTTAATTTTCATGTGACACAGAAATCTCTCATTGTATATTTCCTTGGACTTGTCACTTTTGGTAGCGAAATTAAAAACAGAGGAAGTTTGGTAACCTCTCCGTTACGCCGTCTTGTCATCTGTTTAACATCTTTGATTTGATAATCAAGTTGTTCAAGTTCAGATTTGATGTCATCGATCAGAGTATGTTCAGTAAGTCCACGAAGGACAACTTTTAAATATCGGTCTTCCGGGGGAATGTACGAATGGTGTTCTACTTGTTTTTCCTTAAGTATTTGGACTACAGTCCGATAATCGTCAGGTGTTTCAGTAATGACTTTGATACTTCCCGAAGGAATATGCTCCCCGTGAAATTTGATTTTTCGCTGTAGGAAGATAGATCGAATTTCACTCCATTTCAATTTATTTTCTTTAAGAGTAATTGGCGGAATTTTTGAATTCCTATTATTTTGTTTTTGCTTATTTGTGTTCATGTCGGTGAGGTTTTCGTTATCTGGTGAGGTGGTATCCATTGTCTCATTAATTTGTGTATGAGTATTTTGATTAACTGCTACCTGCTGTTTGATTAACTGCTACCTGATGTGATTACTGCTGTTGTATTTGGGATACTGTCCTGACTTTGTTGTTTTTGTGTAGTACTTTTAGGGGAACTACTAAGCTTAATTTTCTTAAAATTTTGTCTTTGAGATCTAATTCTGACTGTTTGATCACCTTTAGTCTTTGGTAAATCATCATCTGAGCTCGTGGGCTGATCCAATGGTATTTCATTCAGAGTATCAAAGTTGTTGTGTAATTTAATAGGACTTCTGTCCCTATCATTATCAGGATTTTTACCTTGTGAGGATTTATCCTGAGTTTTATCCTGTTGTTAACAGCAACTAGCATTTCAATCATACTTTGTAAGAAATTGTACATCTTATTTTCAGTATCAGTGAGTGTACCATTCTGCTGGCGGATGGTATCAAGTTCACTAATCTGTACCCTCACGGCATCCAAAATCGTATCCATAATCGCAATACAGAATTAAGAAATCCTGCGCCCAATCAGCAGTCCAGAGTCCCGCGCCCCGGAACCGGACCCACTCGAAGGTGTTCCGGCAGACGGATGAGCGGGCGAAAGTCTACTAGGCCCCTATCTCACACCTGACAGCGTGAGCCTGGGGGTAACTAAGCAGACACAACGACCAAAATCCGAAAAATTTAATTACGCGCACGCAATTAATTTAAAATCTGATAAATAATTTAAATTGCAAAATTAATTACGCAAAAATAAGCGCAGAAAAATCAGTAACAATAGCGCGGTATCACTCGTACCAGCAATTAGGCATAATTCGCAAGAAAAGGCAAAATAACATGAAAATTCCTAAAATAATACAAAATAATAAAATTATAAAAGCATCCAGGCTTTTAAAAATAAATACAAACCGAAGATTAGCATTTAAAAATGTTGATGCATGCGGATAAGAGTTTTGCACGTGGTCGCACTCCGCAACACACGTAGATCGGACAGGGCGTACACGTGATACAGGATCGGAGGCAGGCACAATATCAATGACGAACCTTCTCCTATGGCGTCCACCCCTCGAATGATGAAATCAATGATTTAACATGAATATGAGCCAGTTTCCCTTATATAGCCTTCCCCTCAGCCCATGTGTGCTTTGCTATATTCAAATAACCTAACCTAGCCACAGAAAATCTTCCACTGATGCATTTCTCCCATTAAGCAAATAGACATTGTGAACATTGCCATATTTAAGTACACAAAATTAGAATCATTAATTTTATTTTCTGCCATGGTGCTCTTAAGTTATCTATTACTTACAACTAAAAGTATACATGTATGACTTAATATATGCTTAATTTATGAACTAAGTTACTATGCACTTGTTATATATCAGTATCACTATAACTAGTGCACACATTCTTTTTAAGTGGAGCAGTTTAATTGTATAGTTTTTCACAAATATTCACTAAATTCTTCTGATAATGAAATAAGAAGGTGCAAAAATTTATATTATTTGACATTTTAAAATAACTAAAATGAGAGAATTTAAATAAAATATTCTGCACCAAAAATTATTTGTTACAATTTTAGCCCACAGTTAGTCTGATGTAATGTTTTATTTAAAAAAAAATTACATACTAAATCAATTCATTATTTATGCATATAAATCTTCAAATAATGAAAGTAAAAATATATACTAATGTGAAATAATAATGAATTTTAATTAAAATTTTAGCAAATATGATGATGAAGGAAAATCTATGAAGTTTGAAACTTTTAAAACAGTGTGGGGAAATACTGTTTTATTTCTTGAATAATTATTTAAAAGTGGACTAGTAAATGCTGAATTAGGCAGAATTTTTTTCAATGAAAGAAAAATCCATAATGGAATTATACATTTTAATACATAAACAATATTTCAATCTAATCAATTAATCAAGATTGCAAAATACAATGTACTGGTTAGATATTCAGAAATTTGGAATAATTTAGAATTCTGCAGATATTTGTTACCGATAAAAATTATAATTTTACAGGCATTCAAAACTCATACATGTGCAAATATGATTTACGAAATGAATTAAAATTTCTGGTTTTAAATTAACAGCATTAATATTTAATGCTGTTTACAAAATTCAGACATATATAAAAACATTGCTATAAGCCATAACTTTGTCTAATTCTGTGAGTACTATGGAGAATGCATTTCACAGAATACAACTTGTATTAAACACTCCTATTTCTGAACAATAATGACTAATATTTTATATCAATTTAAGAAAGGTAAGTTTATACAAAAGTATAATTTTCTTGAATTGCCTTCTACATGTGGTACATGAAAATCTTTAAAAGCAAGCATGCTAGCAATAACAAATTTTAAAATACTAACTTTAAAAATTATATAATATTTTACAATATGGAAAAGAACTTTCGTATAAATATATGTACAATAATGTCTTTGTGCAGAATCTAGGAGCAAACGTCATATCACTAAAATCAAAAACACAAATATAAAATTCAACTAATGAATAGTGTGATTTGATCGTCTTTCCAAATATGACGACAGGAGAATAGGTGGAAGGTAAAAATAAGACTTTTTGTTTCTCACTCTTGTCCATCTGGAACCATTCCTGTTATAACCTTTGGGGAAGAAGGAAAGAACTTTCAAAGATTTTACTTTTTTATGACATAAAATAAAAATTAATTTTTTGCCTTGACAACATAGACTGCTACTTAGATAACGTATCTGAAACTTACTTATAGAGATGAATATAAGAAATTTGCACATAATAAAAATGATTTTAGGTCATTACTTTATGAATTTGTTAGATTAAAACAACAAAGAGAAGAATAAATTTATAAAATAGCTTTTTAACATTTTTATACAAGCAACACATAAAAAGAAAACAATAAAAAACATATAAGGTAATAAATTGCACTGTCCACCAAAGTAATTACCCAGCCTTAATTTTCATAATCGCTAATCTTCCAATTACAAATATGTTTTAACATTTTTAAATTTTACAAAAATTACAGCATTTAGTCTTTTATACTGATCCTAATACTTATTTTTAGGAAAATTTAAAAAAAAAAAAGGTTTTTCTTTCTGACAAAGATTACCAGGATATTTAATTTAAAAATTATGAATATTTGGTGTCATTTTGCACTTGCCTTGAGGGGTTAGTTAAGAAAGAGATAAACTAAAATACTTTGAAATCATTTTTCTCCTTAAATGACATTCAGTGATAATTGTTTTGATAGTTTACTAGTGTGTTAACATTATTCAATTCATAATTTTGTTATAAGTGGTATGAGAAAAGAATTTTCATGCCTTTGTTAAGTTTTCAAATGTGCAAAATATGCTATCAGTAGTCTTATGAAATTCTGTTACTTTAAATTCATAATCTAATAATCATATAAAAATTTATTAAACTAGAAATATTATTAATTTATGCATATAATGTTAAGAGTTGATTATATGCTGCTACTGAAACCTGCTAGCGTTTTTAGAAAATGAATTCTGTAACATTCTGTGAATAAAATCTTTTTGAAAAACTTTATATTCATCAATACATTACATGACAATCTGCATAGAAATGCTTGTCACTTAATTTACACTTGCCTTTCTCTAAATTTAATTTAAATCGATATTTTTATTATTATTATTATGTACAAATGCAAACAGTTTAGTCTTCAATCTGTGTATGGTGCCTGATCATGATCTCTAAATTTAAAATGAAATAGCTTTATTTTTGTCATATGGGAGTCACACTCTTATTATTTTATTTTTTAAATCAAGTACAAATTTTTTTTTTGTAATTTTTCCAAAAATAAATTTTATTTTACAAATGCCAAAACATATGCATGGTAAAACATTTTTTATAATTTGAAATATATGTATGATCAAAGGTTACAAAAGTAAGAGGAAAGATATAATTTATGTATTTATGTGTAATTTATGTGTATATAATTTATATATACAGTGGTGGCCAAAATTGTGGACACTTTTGGAAATTTCTATGTTTTTGAACTTTGTATGCTTATAGAAAAACATTACATTTCACAAAATGCAAAATTGTATATATCATTTTAAAGAAAATTTATTACTGAATTCAATACAAAACACAAAATTCAATTATTTGAAATACAAAAAAAGTTAAACGATAATAGTTATCGATATACATTAGATAGTGATGATTGCAGTGAGTTATCAGTACTTAGTAGGGTACCCTTTATTTTTGATTACAGCTTCACATTGATGTTTCATTGAGCTGACAAGAGTTTTAAGCTCTTCTTTCGTTATTACATGATGCCAGGAAACAATTATAGCCTCAATTAGTTCCCTTTTATTTGATGGGCGCTTCATTCAGACAAGAGTTTTCAAACGGTGCCACAAACTTTCGATAGGATTGAGGTCAGGACTGTTTCCTGGCCATGACAACAATTTAATGCTCTTTGTACGAAACCACTCTTTCGATATTTTGGCCCTGTGGCAAGGAGCAGAATCCTGCTGAAAAATAAACAAAGCATTGTTGAGAAAGAGATCTCTGATGGAAGGTAGAAGTTTTAGTTCTAGAATAGTGTCAATGTATTTTCTGGCAATCAGTGTCCCATCGAAGACATGAAGGTGGCCAATATCATCTGCTGACATGCATGATCAAATCATAACACTAACTGGGTTCTTCACAGTTGCTTGAATGCAGTCAGGATGTAGCTCTTCTCCTATTCTGCGTCTTACATATTTTCGCCCATCGCTACCGAATAGTGATATCTTAGTTTCATCACTCCATATAACTTGTGACCACTGATCATCTGTCCAATTAATGTGGTCCTTTGCCCACTGTAGTCTTTTTTTTTTTTTTTTTTTCGTTGCTGAAAATTAAGATAAGGCTTTTTTCGTGGAATTCTACCTCTCAGTCCAACATCTGTTAAACTTCTCCTGATTGTTCTTGAACTGACAGAAACACCAGCATCATTCAGATCACTTCTGATGGCCGCTGATGACATTTTTCTATCTGGGAGACATAGCCTTTTTATTCTTCTGTCATCTATAGATGTGGTGTACCTTTTTTGGTCTTTTCCTTCTTTGTTTTTTATTGAATTTGTCTCCTGATATCGTAAACAAAACTTTCGGACTCCAGATGTAGTCACTGAACCACCCGTCTTGCAATTTTAGCATAGGAAAGACCACTTTCTCGTAACACAATAATATTACATCTCTTTCTAGGTGTCCAATCTACTCTTTTATTTGATGTCATTGCTTCTTGACTAAATACTAAAAATTTTTGCAAAAATTCCTACTTGTAATTGCAGTGTATAAGAAACAGGTCCTCCTTCTACAGAACAAAACAAAATAATGAATTGTTTCAAGTGTAAACATGATGTCAGCTTCTACTGGCCGTTACTAACATTTGATTAGTTCTCAGAACAAGAACAGTGATTGGCCTGGAAAGCTAGACATTACAAACCACTTCATAACTGTGTTTTTTATTTATATTAAAGTACATATAACTTTTTTTGTATTGCAAATAATTGAATTTTGTGTTTTGTATTGAATTCAGTAATAAATTCTCTTTAAAATGACATATACAAGTTTGCATTTTACGAAATGTAACATTTTCTATAAGCATACAAAGTTCAAAAACATAAAAATTTCCAAAAGTGTCCACAATTTTGGCCACCACTGTATATTTTAATATATGCTTAATAGCACATTTAAAATTTAAACAGTTTACCTGTTTACAGTTAAACAACAATATTTTACACAATTTTCACTCAAAGCGAAATTTTCATCAAATTGTGTATTTTTCCTCATTAAAAGTGTTTATATACACTGCTGGCCATTAAAATTGCAACACATAAAGGAAAGCAAATACAAAAAAGATATTTATTGTACGTAAACAGTATGGCACAAAGACAAAATGATTAAACTTGTAAGCAGTTTGGGGGTTTACAGGGGTGTGAAATTAGTAAAAACAACTTCCACCCCTGGCAACTAAAATGGCTCTTACCTGGTTAGGCATGGAGTCGAACAGGGCTTGGATGACAGAAATGGACAACTCATTCCATGTTGCTTCAAGTCAATACCACACTTCATCAACAGTATTAGCTGCAGAGGGGTGGTGGATCAGTCTCTCAGCAACCCATGACCATATGTTTTCAGTGATAAATCTGGAGACCACGCAGGCCAGAGCAGCAGTCGAATACTCTGTGAACCGAGGATCAGAATACAAAGTGCAACAGGTGGTCTTGCATTATCTTATTGGGAGATGGTGTTTGGCAGGCCTCAAAGACAGGGCACAACCACTGGACATAAGATGTTAGAAATGTACCAATCTGTGTTCAAATTAACATCGATCTGAACTACAGATTTGCATATCGTGTACCCAATGGCTGCCCAAACCATCACACCACGTGTAAAGGCCCTATGCGATATCGAATGTAAGCAGGCAACATGAGTCTTCCTTGGAGCTTCCAGACGCCTATACGGCCATCAGAATACTGCACACAGAACCAGGACTCTTCTGAAAAGACAACAATGTGCCACTCCTGTATCCAGCTTTGTTTGTTCGGCATACCAGAGTCTCCGTCTTTCTGTATGCTAGATTGTCAAGGGACGCCGAATGCACCCTACAGTGGATACTGGGCATGCTACAAACATGCCCATTTCCTGACTAATGGTCCATGATATGGTAGTAGAGTTTTGCGGGGCTGACTTCACAATAATCTATTATCTCGGGCTTTAATCATGGGAAGGCTCTGAGACCTTGTATGCCATTCTGTATGATGCTCAGCAACCCATTGATTGCATATTTGCGTGACAGTGGTTGGATATCGAGCAGTGCGATGAGTGATATCACGAACCGTAATACACACTCTCAATAAGCAACAATCCTACCTCTATCGAATTCCGACACTTGCTGGTAAGCAATTCTTCTTCTTATTCGAGGCATAACAGGATATTCTGAGCAAACTCAGACCTTACAAAGCGCTTTCCGAATTAGAAATCCACCACACAACTTTTCTTTTATGCAGTGCTGAAGATGTTATTTCTCCCTCCTGCATCATCTAAATGCACTAAAATACTAATAATGTGCATATCCCAACCTCTTCTTCCTTTCAAGTGATTTTGACATTCATCAAATCATTCCTTCCCGGTGTTGCAATTTTAATGGCCAGCAGCATATCTTTTATTAACACAACTCAAGTTTGTATATGTGTAGTTTCATCAAACTGGAATTTAATTGAAATGTTCAATGCTGTGTAACATATAAGATATGGATGCGATATATTTTATACTCTAGGCAATAACTGAGCAAAATTATCTTACTTAGTGAAGATAAATCCAGGTACTGGCTGAGAGCATGAACCATAAGCCTCTCGAAACTGCTTGGAATCTGGCAGTGATATATTGACTCTGGACGGTTGACAAAAAATGTTACCAGTTCATTTTCCAAATGTATCAAAGTGCCCTGAATAGATAAAAAAACATTTTTTAACCGCAATTAAAGACTTAATTCTTTTTTCCCCCTAATTTTACGTTTTTTTTAATGTTAATTTTAGTTTTCAGAAAATAAGTGTGAACTAAGTAAATTTTCATATACATGAAAATTCTGTTCATCACTGAAAATATTTTAAAAGTAACATACATCTTTAACATGTAAAGAACGATGACATAAATGCATCTTATAGACAAATTAACATTTGAATGCATCATAAAATAGAATTTTCATATAAACATCAAAAACAAATGCTTAGCAATTTGTATTTTAAATCATTCATTTCAAAAGTTGCAAATTTATAGATTTTTTAAAAAAATTACATATGGATGCCATGTTGACAGCTAATTGTTCTATAATTCCTTCGTCAAAATTTTAAGCAATTTTTACTAATTTTATCATGCACGATGTGTTGCTATTTATTCCATTCAAATCAGAAAGCACATTAATGAAAGAATCATCTTTGTTAATTCTGTATTAACAGTTGAGAATAATGTAGGTGAAGTTGTATCTTATTACAAGACCACATCAATAGATGCTTGTATTTTTTGGATTATTTGATCTTGTTTTTTGTAAGAATAATACCCAGGTGCATTGTTCTTCCAAATTACGGATGATGCAGTCAGTTACTGTATTTTTTTCTCCTTTGCATTAAACCTATGATAAAAAAACATAATAAAACTACTTATTTCTAAATACATTTTTTAACACACTGCTTAGAACAAGTTCAATTTGCATGATAATCAGTTATTAATCTGATTATCATGTAAATTGAACATTATGTTATTAACTGATTATTCATGCAAATAACTGCATGAAAAAATTATCATGCAGTTATTTGCATGATAATCAGTTAAGCAGATATTTCAGTGAAATACTATATTCCACTTTAAGTAAATAATTCATAATTTAAAAGTTTTCCTTTTTTTTATTACATAAAATTTTTTTTCATCAGTCTCCAGTAAAGCATTTCTTTAAAATCTACAAAAAAGACAGCTCTTTCAATGTAGAGACATCAATATTCTTGATACATTCAGGAATCTGTCATTTAACATGGTTAATTAATCCATATAAAATGTTGCATTAAATTAAACATGTTAATCTAAACTTCAAATAAACTCATTATGTCTAACTATTTCCTTTTATACTTCTTTCTAACCACTTATAAAAAATTAAAAGGAAATATAATGAAACAAAGGGAAAGAAATTAGAATTTTTTATCATACAAATAAAATCGAATTTTTATGGACAAAAAATTATTTAAAATACCTTGAAAAGTTTCTGTTTTTAACTCTCCTGATAAAGATATGTGATCAAATCTTTGAGGCCAAGCATACAAACCAAAACTATACATTGTGCGTTTAATTGTAGCATCTATAAAAATGTTTGGATAATGCTAAGTGAAACCTGCCATGGTAAAAAACAGGTTGCAATTAATAAATTGCACTATCTGAAAAATTTTTTAACTGAAACTATATTAAATAACAGATTTTGGCAATCAGGATTTTTCAATAAAATGTTAAGCATAGTTCATTTTGAATGTAAATTTAGCTTTAAATATAAATATATTTTATCCCAAACATTTATTTAAATATTGCATTGGAATTTAGTAAACGGTAGAATTCCCTTTTCTGCGGCATTTGCATTACTAATTGAATATTAGTAAGAGAGTCAAATTATTAAGAAATGCAATGCCCTTTCTCATTTTCAGACTAAGGCTAATTGCAAAAGAACTTAAATTAGTTTTCAATCACATTTAAGCATATTAAGGGAATTTTATATCCTGATATGAAACAACATTTTGAAGTCTACCAAAGCTTGCCACATAATATAAACTACATGACACGATGAAGAAATAAAGCACCGTTTTAAACATCTTTACTTGCATTTTTTGTCAGTGTCTGCAAATAGAATAAAAATTAAAATAATACGATTTTTCTAACTTTAATATGCTTGCATTGTCTCTTTTCCTCCAGATTTATGTTAATCAACAGACAAATTGTGATTACATCTGTTGTTTACTGTGTTAATTTAATAGATATTGGTTAATAAATGAATTACCTGTCTTAGCAAGTTTTCTTGTATATAAAATTGATGCATGATGCACTTATTTAATATAAACTTAAGTCTAAAAGTTGAATATTATGTACTTAAGATTTCTTGGACATTATGCATATAAGTTTTCAAAATTAGCCTTGTATTTAGTACTCATGTTATGTTAAAAGTTGATTAATAATACACAGAACCATAGTTAAGAGGCAGTACTTCCTCAATAATGAGAAGTGCTGAGGCATGCTATAAATCAGATTTCCCACTCTATTTCTGGGCATAGTTACTTTTTTCCTGTGGTTGATGTTGCAATCTACTGATATGCGGAGAAAATATAATGAAGCAGATGGATAGCTTGCAATCTATGGGTTGGCCAGTTCCTTTGCATTTTTATCATAAAAATCTTAGTTTCCAAATGCACCATTTTATAATTTTACAGAGGAAAATGGTGCTAAACTCAAAACAACAAATGTTGCAACTTTCCAAACAAAGATTTCCATGCTATACAGCTTTGAAAAACTGGAGGAGAGAAAAGTCTTTTTCAATGCTCGCTTGTCAAAATTATGTCGAGATTAAAATACCATCTAGAACTCACAAAACATGAACAAAAGCATATAATGCAATGCAGCGTTAGAAGTCTGCAACATACTCTCACAGTAGAAAACTTTACTTAGTGTTAAACTGTAGTGATTTAATATTCATCACAATCAAATATACAATCATTTATAAAAATATTGCGATTGAAAAAATTTAACAAGCACATTCAATGATAGCTAAGTTACTGCAAAGCACAAGAAATATTCTTATACACCATGTCCACAAATTCTTTACCCAGTCCTTATTTTTGCAACTGTTGGTCAAAAGCATGTACTTCCAATTACAAAGATGTTTTAAGTGATGCAAATATTCATGTTTTGGCATTTTTAAAGTAATCAGTTTATAAAAATTAGAAAATCTAACTTTGTTATAAGTTCTTTTCATATATTCGTTTTATATGTTAACTTTTAATATGTTTATAATCTAACTTTTATATATACTTATGTTTAGAAAAAAATTATACTTGTTATAAGAATAATAACAAAAAGCTTGATTCTCATATGATAATTTGGATATTTAATGTCATTTCTGACTTGCCCTGAGGAGTTGCGATCAGAAAATAAATTGGAATAATTTCAAGTTGATTTTCTTCCTTAAATGCTATTCAGCAATATTGCTTTATGATTCACCGGTGTGTAATTCCTTAATTTAAAATTTTGTTACAACTGATATACCAACAGAATTTTTGTGCAAGTAATTTATGAGTTTTCAAATACTACAAATATGTTAATAATAGTGTCATGAAGCTTTATTATTTAGAATCATAATCTAATAATCCTACAAAAATTCATTCAACTAATTTTTTATTCATTCAAATAATGCTATGAGTTGGCTATGTGCCAATACTGAAGCTGCCACTTTTCTAAAACATAAATTCTAAGATTCTATATTTGCAAATATTTATACTTGCAAATATATCAATACTTTTTATGTCAGTTTGTTAAGAAATGCTTGTTACTTAATTTATTAAAAAAAAAAAAAAAAAAAAAAACCTTTTTCCAAGCTGACATGTTATATTTATTTGTGTACAGATGCAAATCTTTCACTTGTTAATTTCTTTATGGTCCCTAAATATAATGTCCAGCTTTAAAATAAAATACCTTGGACAATTTTTGTCATATGCAATTTTTTTTTACTTATTATAATGAGTTTTAAAGAAGACTAAGGGAACACATAAAAGTTTAAATTTAATAATTTTTACAAAATTAATACTTTTAATATTAAAAAATAGCAAAGTATGAATATTTGCAACATCTGAAACACTTCTGTAATAAGACATATATGTCGATGACCAACAGCTGTGGATATAAAGGCTGGGTAAGTATATTTGTGGATATGACGCATATGAAATATTATGCAGTGGTAGATAAACTGGATCTTGCCTTAGAAAACACAATCTCAGGTATCTCCTATTACCAGTAAATTCAAATGCAGCATGTAGGTAAACATGCGGACATAGAAAGATGCAACAGTTTTCAAACAAGTGCAAATTGGGTATTTAATGTCATGACACAACTTGAAATACCATTACAAGCCTTAATTAAATAATTTTTTACAAAGTTAATAGTTTGTACTACCAAAATATGGTTACATCTCATACAGTTAAAGAAGTTCAAAGTGCAAAAGTAGTTTTATGCAGGCAGGAGCTACATGTTCCATAAAGCATCCATATCCTCCCATACCCATAAGTCTGCCACAAAATGGATAAATGATGATAACAATATTAGTAATTTGATGTCATAAAACTGACTGCAATTTTGATCTAATAATCCTATTTATAATCATTCCCTGAAGTTAAGCTTAAAAGACATGTAGACCCAGACAAAGACAAAGTTAAAATTACAAAAAGTCTCCAAAATAAAATTAAGGTTAAAAAAAGATCCCTGCAAACAGCTAAAACATCCATTGATATACAGCCAAAACATAGGCATAAATTTTATGATGCTATTAACGGTTGTATAAAAATTACATGCAAATATATTTATTTGATAAAGAGTAATATAAATTTAAATTTGGTCAAGAGTATGATTAGTTAAAATAATTACTGATAAATATGCAAGCAGAGCCAGATTTAGACTTGATGAGGACTATTTGAAATATGATTCGAGTTGAGTAATGTATGCCATTTTATTATTTAAAAATAACGCTGCTCAAGTGAGAGTCATTTCTGTGTAAATATTTTTCTAATCTTGATCAAATATCTTCCTTATCACTTGACAAAGCAGGTCAGACTGAATCCATGCAATTTCTTATCTGATATTCATTTCTAATTCTGGTATGGTTTGCTGTCTATCAATGTACACCCTGCTTTTCAGAAATCCCCAAAGAGAAAAATCGCATGCAGACAAATTTGGAGATCTTGCAGGCTATGAGATATTGTTATGTTTAGATATGAGTCCATCCGGGAAGATTTCTCTTGAATCAGCCATGGACTCATCAACAGTGTGACTTGTGCCTCTTCTGCTGGGAAAAAAAAAAAAAATTTGAGCTATTGCATCAAAAATGTTTTAACCATGTATATCTAACAATCTGTTTATAAATATAAACAGTATTAACTGTATTTAGAGTTGTGGTGTTTCCTCTATCATCTTAAAAAAATTATGGCCAAATAATGCCACGTAATGAAAGTGCACATAACTTTCAGACTGCATAATGGCTTTTCATGCAACTCGTCTGAGCTTCCATCATTCCAGTATCAACTAAAGTTATACATTCACAATTCTTATAAAATTATTTTATGCAGAAAGCAATCTGTATACTGAGAACTGCTCCATATTTAACAAATGGCATTAAATATCAAACAATAATCCCAAACCTCTATGCTTCCTTCTGAGCAGAATATGAACTATTAGAGTTTTGAAATTTCCCGCTTTACTGGTGAGAATCTTAAACGAAGTAAAAGGAAATGCTATGATATACATTCAGTATCATACTTACCATAGGGATATGCCTCTTTTTAAACATATATCGAAGATCACCATCTATCTTTCGGAAGCATTCTGCTGCAGTATATGCAGGATGTTCTGTACAATGATAGATAAAGCATTAAATTCAATGAAAATTATGCAACTACTCTTACTTATAAAAGCCATTCTTGTTATTAAAAATTCAAAACATCAGAAAGGAAAAGCTTCAGAAAAATGTACATTAAATCCTTTTGAGAACTGTTATTAAAGATAAAATACCTTTCATGTTTATCAAAATTTGAAGTAAAATTACATTATATACTTACATATTATCCCATCGACTGATGGTGGAAATTTCGGCAACAGTCTCCAATTATTATTGCAGAATTCTAGAGGGCATTGTCATCCATAACTGGCACACTAAATAATACTACTTGGCCCGTCAATGGCATAATATGCAAGTACTTTACATTTTTTTAAACTCCTTAGTGTTAAAAGTTAGACAAAATAGCAACCTTACTTTAGCATAGATTTTAAACAAAACTCTTCAGATTTCTATAAAATACTTCTAGTTTGGCTAAATTTTTAAGTTTTGAATTTGCATGTTTCTATTTTTCTCAGATCCTTAATATTAGGCTAAGAAACATGCCAAGAGCTACATACAGAATTTTATATTTATAAACAAACAATAAAGCCTGTACTATCAACATACCAGATAAAATTATATTTTTGTTTTAATACAGAAAAAAACTGTGAAAAAACAGGAATATTTTTAAGTGATCACTATTTTTTTAAATACTAATCTCGGTGTAATTTAATAGATGTAAACTGCAAAAAATATCTAAAAGTTGTTCTGAAATACAGCAGAGCCTCAGATGAAGGTCTAACTTCATAAACAAATTATGTGAACAAGAAGTTACTCGGATGATAAAGTGTCTTGAATTACGAATGTTCATGTCAGTATCATATGATTTTCAAAGGTGTTTTGAGGTAAGCTATACCACATAATTATTATTCAGGAACTTCTGGAAACATCATGTGATTATATCTCTTTTCTTAACTGTCATTAAGAAATCTTTGCAGATTTACAGGGCCATTAATTCAGCCTGGAGGAAATTATGACCAAATTAAATGAGGGCTTTTAAACTTAGAATTATGATACTGTGCCTGTAAGAAAAACCACGTGTTAAGAAGTTAATCAAAATGTGGAAAAAACACTACAGCTCATAAAAATGAGCTCAATAAAAAGAATATGAACAGGAAAAAAAGGCAGTTGTAGAAGGAATGTCTTTGACAGAAGAAAAAAATTATTTTAGTTCTTTGATTCACAAAATTTGAGCAAAATAGTGTACAATGCTAAGTAACATATTACCCCAATAAGGCAGTAGCAGTCTATAGTATAAGCGTTTTTAGGAACAATGTCATATCTCACCTTAATCTTTTAAAATGTACTTACTCCCTCTGTCCCAAAATAATAGTAATAAGTAAATATTTAAATAGAAATTATTAGCAAATGCAGCTGTAAATTCTGTTGTAGTTAAAAATTACAAAGCCTTTAATCAAAATCAACGTTTCATGACATCTATCACTTGTTTTGCCGTCGTTCAATTTTTAGGTTATTATAACTATTTTTCTTCATCCGCAATCAAAATCAGTTGTTTTATTTCAGTTGAACATCAACCCATTGTAAAAGTAAGATGAAAAGGAGAGAGTTTTCAAGCAAGGATCAAGTTGCAGTTATCCAGTTCTTGATTCATCAAAAGGAAAAGGAAAATTTGCAGAAAGGTGCAATTACATTAGCTGCAAAACAATTTAAGGGCAACAGAATGACCATATCAAGAATGCGGAAAGATGCTTCCGAAAATAACTGCCAAGGGGAATCTTATGTTAGTGTTAATTCTTTGAAAAAACAAAACTGTCGATGTAAATGGAAACATTATAGAGAAAAACTTAGACATATTTCTCTTAGCAGAAGAGGAACTATAGAAGCAGTAAATATAGCTTTTAATATTTCTCCTGAAACACTAGATAATATGTTTCTATCACTTCAACAAGCTATTCTGAAAGCAATGGAGAACAATGGATGCAATAATTTTAAGCTCATGCATAAACGGAAAGCAAAGCTTTAAAGCCAAGGGACCCTACCTTACCAATATCAAGTTCAAAAGCTTTAATAAAATAATCAGGAAATTACCTGAACACTCAAAATAAAATTTAGGAGTAATATTTTTAATTTATTGATTAATTTAATCTAGTTCTTGGCCTTCTTTGATAACAAATGCTGCATCCTATATTTATTTGCTTTTGCTACTGTTTTTATGGGACAAATTAAAGTCATCAACTGTTACTATTATTATGGTACAGACGGGGTATATAAATACAAATCACATTAGACAAATTTTAAGTGAAACATATGCCCAATGAGATTCAAATAAAACGGAGTGTAAGATACAAAGAATATATATATATAAAAGATCTTACTTGATGCTTTTATATGGAAGAAAGTTTTATGTCTAAACACATAATATGTCCCTCATCCTTTCCCACTTACATGGTCCACTTTCCTTCATATGGATACAGTAAAATTAAATTACTTTTTCGTGCATTTTACATTGTGTTCATCTTTTTTATTTTGTATTTCATGAATTTCATTGGTTTTGGGCTGTGAATGTGTGCACCTAGTAGTACTGTTGTAAAATTCATATAAGCAATCATCTGTGGCCCCAAAACAAATTAACCCATTTTACATTAAAACCTATGGGGCAAATTGTTTCAGTTTATGAATGGCCTGTGTTTGTCGCTTAGCCCAACTGATCAACTGTAACATCAAATCAAGTCCATGAACCCTCGGACTTTAAAACCCCCAAAGAACAACCCCGTGACAAAAGAGTGGTTGTCTCCTATGGCAAACAATGCAAGACAAGATATGGGCAGGAGTGGATTGGGTCAAGTTTCATTTCGGGCACAAGTGATGGAATTTAATTCTCGAAGCTAAATATAGAGCATACAGATGACCAGTATGCAGGCTGTCTAGAGCCATTTGTTCAAATCTATTACTTGCCTCAGTTATTGGCAGTGCCAGGGCAGTTACCCACATATCACTCATGTGGGGGCCTTTCTTCAAGAGGAGACGATTTCTAACTTGAAACCCCATGAGGAAAGTTCTGAGAAATTAAGATGGCCACCATCAGGAGAATCCTTAAGGCTGTCCTCCCTGGCCAGTCCATCTGCTATCTCATTGCCACAAACATCCAAATATAGAAGTGCCCATTGGAAAAAATATCTTATTATGGTCACACATGCAACCCAAATGCTGGACAATATTCATGGTAGTTCTGTCTTCATGTTTCCACCACTCAACCAAGTGCTATATCGAACTCAGAATCCAGAAGTCAGTATTTACTCTCTCAATGACACAATTAACTTAAGGCCTTCTCTACAGCATTGAGTTCTGCCTCAAAAATGGAGTAGTAGTCAGGGTTTCTTATACAAATCCTAATTCCATATCTCTGCTTGATAAATATTCCACTACCCAAGATAGCACCATCATCAGTATAAATGCGTGATGCATCACCGGGGATTTTGTGAATAGCCTCCAAAGCCAGCAGTCAAAGATAATCAGGGTATTGCATACCTTCATTAGTATTTTAGTAATACTATTATAAAATTTATGATGTTAAAATATAAGTTATAATAATGAAAATTAATTATGTTTTGAGCATTTTGAAATTTGTTGCAATTATTCAAAATACATAATTTGTGTTCAAAATTTTTACAACTATGACATTGTGCACAAAGCTTCGCAAAGCCTTCCCTGAAGAACTTTTAATTATGTGAACTCTTAAAACACAAAGACTTTTGGACTAAAAAATTTAATAGAACTCTAAAATATTATCAAAGTTTATATTTTTCAATTATGTAAGTAATTATTTTGGTCAAAATTTCAGGATTTGTATTTTTCAAATTACTTCCCGTCATTTGTCAATGCTTTAACGCTTTTTCTCTAAAAAAGGCTTTTCTCTAGCCTAACCACTTTCTTCTTGAAGGTGGGGAATATGTAAAGTATAAAATCTAGCTTTTAAATTTTAAATAATAAATTAATAGCACTTTAACTCCTGTCTTCATTCTAAAAATAACAGAGCAATAAATTTTCTAAAAGAAGAAAATCCGTCATTTAATCTGTGATACGCACTTACCGATGTAATCTGAACCCAAAATCCTGTACACTACACTGTCATGTGATTTGAAATGGAATTTGGTATAAAAAGGTCAATTGCTTCACAATTCCCTCTCTTCCATCTTTTCTCTTGCTTCATGGCACTGCTTTGCATTGCTGCTAGCCACATAGAGTTTATTTTTCTAAATTTGCAATTGTTTAAGATGTAAGCTGTTCAAGAATTGGGAGGGTGCACAGCGGACCCACAATGATAATGTGAATTATCCAAGAATAAAATTATGTGTGGAATTTACTGTTATATGTGTTCTTTGATGTCACCTTTCTAACTATGCAGAAAAGTCTTCAAGATGCAGTCCTCTTCAATGCCAGTCCATTGCAAATCTCACCAAGTCGTCTTATTTCAATAATGCAGTCGTCTTATTTCAATAATTCAACTAGAAAGGCCGGCAGTCATACGAAATGATCGCTGTTCTAGATATTATAAATTGTAATTAAAATAATTTGTCTGCTAATTTAAACTGAATTACCCAGGGCAGGCGGCGAGGATGCCTCTTTGCTTACTGCCCCACAGGGTTTCTTCCTTCTAGTTGCTTAATTGCTTAAAGTAGAGTGCAATGAAGGAAACCACTGGCAGTACATTTCTTAAGAGCAAGTGCTAGCTCAATAAATAAAGGTGATTTAAATAATGAAATGTTAATTCACATGTCAAAGATCTCTTTGTACACATTTCTTGTGTAGATCTTTCCATCATTTTTAAGCTCGCCTTGCAGAGGACCATCAATTATTTTTAATTTTACATCTGTTCTTTCATGAACTCTTGAACAAGCAACATAAAGTTGACCGTGCCCAAATGAAGGCTCAGGTAAAAAAAATGCCAACATACTTAAGCATTTGGCACTGAGACTTATTGATGGTCATAGCCCAGGCAAGTTTTATAGGAAATTGTCTATGTCACAATTGAAACGGCAACCCTGTGCCGTGGCAACTTCACCCCATTGGCTAGTACAGTTACACAAGCAACCAATAGACTATCGGTGACAGACACTTAAGCCGCATATATATATATGGGATGAGGTAACATCATCTCCTTTGAAATGGCTGGCTCCCGGGCTTAGCGAAGCACACCGTTGGATTCCGCAGGTCCATGGTTCGCCATTTTGACCATTCGCGTCTTCTTGGGACTTTAATTAGCTGAGATGTTAATTAAAAACTAATTTTCCACTTTCTTTCTTCGATTTTCCCTATTACAGGGATTTGGCTGCATGCCAAATTCTTTTTCTCGAATATCTATGGAATGGCGCCGAGTTGAAATTCGAGACGCGTATCCTCGAATTCCAAAAAATTCTCCGAATACATCCAAAAAATTCCATCGATACCATTCTCATCTTCATACGATTTTAATCGGCTGAGATATTAATTAAAAACTGTGCACACACTTTAGCCACTTATATATATAAAGATAATAATGTAATTTATTTACATCTAAGGGAGCAGATATTAATATATATATATATATATAATGGAATATAATGATTGGACAAGAGCTTTCACATTGCAGATGAAATTAATGATGAATGTGACACAGTACAGATTCCAAGACAATGGATATAACCAAATTTTTAAAAAAAAAAAAAAAAAAAAAAAAAAGGGGGAATTAAAAGGGCTGTTCCCAGTTAAGTTAGTAATTTATTACTAATTTCTTTCATAATTTATATCTTACATATTCTCCCCCCCCAAAGAGAAAAAGACCTGGTGACAGGAAAAAGCATTTTTAGAAAAAAGCCTCAGTGTGCTAGCAAAGGACTAGAAATTTTGTAAAATATATACAATATGAAAATGCTAAGTCTCAATATCAACACTTCTTGTAAACAAAAATTACTGACTTTAATTCTAAAGCATTTAAACATGTTCAAGAATATTCAAAAGACTCCAATTAAATTTTAAAGGAGAGCTGAATAACAGCATCTTTGAAGCACTTAAGAAATTGCAGATAAACATATTCTAAAATATTATGAAAATTTATATTTTGCAATTATTTAAATAATTATTTTTGTTAAATTTTTTTATAAATTTATATTTTCCAAATTACATTTATCTTCAATTGCTACTGCTTTAATGCTTTTTCTCTAAAAAGTCTTTTCAATTGCCAAGCCTTTTTCTCGGCTGAAGGGGAGAGGGAATATATAAGATAAAAAATATGTAACTATAAATTATACTTTAAATTAGCAGTACCCCCTTAATTCCTCTTTTCAATTTGGGCATTTCTACTCTTAAAATAATAATAACTTTTCTAAAGTACATCTTTCAAAATTAACCCTGTTATATACTCTTGCCTGCAGTGTAATGAAATATCTACAATCAGATTAAATCTTATTATAAATAGCATTGTGACTAACTGAGCATTTCTTTTTTCATCCCACTTTGTTAGCAAATGTCCTCTGCTTTGTTCATTAAAATGCAAACTGCTACATTGAAAGATTGTGGGTGCATATTGCACCTATAATCATGATGTGTAATAGAAAATGTAATTTGTCTTAAGAATTAAGTTACCAAGGAAAAAATTATGTGTTCAAATCATGGCAAAATCTGTCTTCATGTGTCATCTTCTCATGACACAGTAAAGCCTCTTCCAAGTTATTACAATGCAAAGAACCATGTACAACAACTATTCTCCCAATCATCCCATTACATATATTCCACCCTTTTTATTGGATCTATTTTCAAAAGCATTGGTCATTGACATATATTTCTAGTTACAGTTGTGTTTTAAATGACAAAAATGTTCATGTTTTGGCAATTTCAAATTTAAGCACACACACAAAAAAAAAAAAAAAAAAAAAAAAAAACTGGACAAATAACGGTATCTAACTTTTAATGCAATGCTTCTGGTTTGCATACTTACGTTTATTAAAGTTTTATACTCATTAGGAAAATATTAAAACATAAGAAGTTTTCAAAATTTGGATATGGGAATGATATAGGATCTAGTTGAGCACCTCCCTTTTTTATTGCAATCAACATAACTAAATATATTTACCCACAACTATCTCCTTACCTGATTTAAAAGTCCTTACTTGACCTATATTTTCATAATTGTTTGTTGTAGACATATACTTTCAATCACAGAAGTATTTTAAATGATGAAAATATTCATCTTTTGGCAATTTAAAATTTTTTTAAGAAATTACTATTTTCGACAAATAGCGAAATTTGACTTTTAATGCATTCTCCTGGTTCTTATACTTACATATGGAAAAGTTTTATACTCATTATGAAAAAATAAAAATGCAAGAAGTTTGACTTCCATACAACAAAAATTTATCAAGATATTTCATTTCAAAATTTGCAGTTTTTGATATTTTCACCTAATAAATATACTGCATAAAACGGCATTGGGTCTTCGTGGAAAATAACTGTTTACCCACTGTTACATTTTTGCCTGGTTTATAACATTTCAAGCAGTTTTCTATAAAAGCATTCCAAATATCCGAAAAAAGGGCAAATGAATCAGTTTGCAGTCTTTGGGATCTTGATCTAAATTTTTAGTTTCCTTTACTGTTTCGTGAACAGGCTCTCCATCAGATGAGTTGGATTCACTTGTTTCAGAAGGAAAAATCCAGTCCTTATCGAATAAATTGGATGTAGTTTCGGTATGAAATTCTTCATCAGGTTCAATTTCTGAAGCAGAATTATCATCAGAAAGACTTTCAATCTCTTAGCATATCTTTCGTCGATAGATATTTTCTACCAACGCTTCTATGCGACACGATAAACAAGTCAGAACAACAAAACTATCCAAATGAAGTAAAGTACATTTGTGTCTACTTAAAAAATAAATATTCTAACAGAAGCAAAACGTGCAGACACGTGGTGCGCAAAAATTCCAAACAGGTATTTTTAATCCCCCCTTTCCACTCACTTCTGTGAAATATGCAATCTTCCTTACCAAAAATACATTTGTTTATCTATCAGCAAACCAGAAATTAATTTAAAAAGTCATAAAGATATTGAGAAATCTATAATTTTCTGGATATGGTCAAAATGACCGATAGCTGTAATTCTAGGTATAGACAATAATACTGCCAAAAATATTTACTAAATAATAATGAATAAAAAAAATATCATGCTATATTGGTAAGTTTTTAGAAAAAGTCAAAAAATATCAAAGTTATAAATAAAGAATTAAAAAAGTTATGTCCAATTAAAATGGAGATACAGTCAAAATGACCGTTCCCGTAATTCTAGTGTTAATAAATGAATTCTAAAGGAACTAGATATCACATATATAAAAAGAATTTTAGGGCATACATATATATTTGCATTAACAATAATTACAAAAAGGAGAAGCTACCATATTCTCTGTTTGCGAACATAAAACATGAATACTCTAAAACAAATACACCATTAATGAATCCAATAATGAATCTTGACAAACAGATTTTTTCTGCAGCAGTGAACTGATACAGAAGATATCAGAGCTTTTAACTTAAGCATTTTTAAATACATATTTTTATTTACACTTGGTAATTATTATATCAAAAGATTTTACATAGAGGGATCTCATATTTGCTTTCTTGTTAATTTACATTAACATGAAGTAAAATGAAATCCTCAAATTTTCATTATTTACTTTTCTTAATTTACTTTAGAATTTTATGTGTAAAATGAACAGTGATAACCCAAGTTTTGTATATTAAAATAGTTTATATGACTAAAAATGCCCTTCTTTCATACATATTACATCAATGAGATTGTAAGAATTAAAGTATGCCATAAAACATGAAGTTATAAAAATTCCTTTAGCGATGTTATGTTTGTCATTGTTGTCAATAATCTCTTGCCTGCAATGCATTATCACCTGCAAAGATAGACACAATGAAAACTTGTAAATCCCCCCCCCTCCAATTTTTGTTGTTGTTCTTGTAATAAAAATGAAAGCTATCATTGGCTCTTTACAACGTTCTTCTTTGCAAATGTTTAACGCCATCAATTTTCATCATACCTGTATCATTCCAATGCCATTTATGGTTTCTCATGGGCTGAGCAATTGGTGCAGGAAAAAAATGGGTGCTGTTATTTGAAAATTTCAAAAATTTTCACTGGAACTGTAACAAGAATTCTATTATTTTAGATCATCACAATCTTGTGCACATATCTTCAAATAACAATATTTGAAATTTCATTTTGAATGGTTGAGCAGATAGGCAGCTAAGGGTGCATATATTTGGGGAAGTTTTTTTATGACCATCCTGTATTAAGTCACAAAATTAAATTTTTTTTTATTAAATAATAAAAATATCTTATTGCGATCTAATATCTAATTGCGATATCTTAGCAATAGTTTTAGAATTTTTTATTTAAAAAGTGTGGTCAACTGTTTAAATATCAAATAAATATATTTCAATATTCTAAAATCATTATTACAATATCAAACATATGCAATTAGTGTAACATCTATTACAGCTGCAAAAGAATTGTTTCCTTCTTTAATAATTATAATCACATGCTTGATTACTTTTAGATTTTTAGTACAGAAAAAACACTGCAAAAGATGATTCACATAAAAAATATTCACCATTACGACCATCATGACTGTCATCATGAGCATCAGCAACTTCAGTGTCTTCTACAATAACATTTTTCTGAAACCAATCTTCGTTATCTTTTGTACAGTTTATAAATTCACTCCAAATCTGAAATTGTATATTTAAATCTTACAACAGAGTTTGGTATTGCCTGCATTTTTAATATTTTATTATGCATGGTGATTATTACTGTACTAATTTAACTACTAATCATGTATTTTAAGATTTTGTTAAACAATTAAGATATTGATTTATCTATGTGCTAAATTTGTTACTTTTTTATCATAAAACATACACATTAACTTGAGACATATGGTATTGATTTACTTATGTACTGAATTTTGAGTTCATTCAAAATCTGCTGTCTTTTTAACTTAAAACACATATGAACTTGCCCAGCCAATATAATGGCTAGTGACATTGAATGACACACCAATGAGCCCGAGTTCTAGGATCAGAAAAGGTATGAATGTTGTGTATGCTGTCTGTGCAGCAAAAGGGCACTCAAAATACACAGAGAGCTGAAAGTCCTCTCAAGAGGTTTGTGGTAGAGGAAAACAAGTCGGAGACCTCGGACTGTTCCCCAGGATGTCCTCCCTCAAAATTAGGGTAGATCTATACCTGTATGACCAATAATGAATTGATGGTGTCCCCCTCACTCTACCCATACCTGTAATGGGCAGTTATTATGAATCATTTTAAAATGCTATCAAAATATTTTTCTCGTGTGCTCAGCACTACACATATATGACAAAAACCATGGAAATTATTATGTTATCAAAACTAGAAGGAAGTGGGAAGTAAAATATCAACATTTATGCTTTTGCTTTAATCAGATTTAACTGTAAAGGATTACATAAAATAAAATACAAAAGCAGGGGCAAAGAATATCTTTTCTTACATAAATATATACAGAATATATTCTGGAAAAGAAATTTAACGCTCTTAAATTTATAGATAAAACAACTAGCTGAATTTATTGCTGAAGGTAATTACATATTTCCAAAGGAAGAAGAAAAAAGAATTAATTTTTTAATTGTTTTAAACACTAATTCAAATGTTAAAAGAAATTTTTTCCAGCCATGTAGTTCTAGCAGTAAAGTAATCAAAATAGCTATGAGCATTACTTTTTTTAATAGCAGATGTTAAACAGTATATTTATGTTTAAATATCAGTAAAAATACCTCTATATTGTCTCTATGGATGAAGAACTGGGTAAATACAGACACTGTTTGTGGAATGAAATCTTGGATAGAAAGTTCCTGGGCTTCATCAGGGTCCGCCAAAGACAACAAGTAGTTAGCTGTTCAAATTTTATAAAATATTATACAGTATCAAAAATAACAAAATAATCCCTTTTATAAACGTATAGCAACAAAATTTACACAACAGCATATAAAATAGAAAGACAGATTTATGATAGCCATCCCTTTGTTATAATAAATGCTTTTTCATCATATTCTGTTTCAAGCGCAAGCATTTAAGTATTTTTAATGTCAGCATTTTAAATATTAATTCTCTAAATATTTTAAACATAAAAGCATTTCCTCCCCCTAAATACATCAATAAAATTTTGATTCCTTTTAAAAGAATGATTTTCTAGGAAATATGTGTGTTGAATATAAAACACCCAATAACACATTTCAGAAAAATTCTTCAAGCTTTCAGCGAGGGATGCAAAGTTAAACAGAGAATTCAGCCATTAATATAACATATACAATTATTTAAAGTGAATGGTTAAAATTCTGGATAATACACCCTAATATATTCTGGATACACACCTAATACAAGTTTAAGGAAAATTTATCCTTAGATTGGCAATTAATGTTATGATTTTGGTATGGGTATTCTCTTTAAGTGTTAAAATATTTTCTTAAAATACAAACAAATTGCTCCAAAATTAATACCAATCTGGAGTTAAATTTTCCCAAATTTAAAGTTAGCATAACTCTGAATTATTCTCTTAAATTAAAAGTCAAAGATGATTACGAATAATAAAATTGAATATTGCAGGAAATAGACTGAAAACACAGGAAACTCTGCATTAAGTTGAGGAATATAAATGTCATTTGCATTTTTTTCAGTCCATGATGTGTCTTGATGCTAACATACTTGGAGAGCTGTTTATATTATCAACCTCAAAAAAGTCTAAAACTGTCATAAAATACCTCACATTTTTATCCCAGATCAAAGCAAATTATTGTAGAACATATTTAAAAACCAGCAACTAAACAAACGAATGGAATTATAATATTTTGGACATGATATTGTTATGAATTTTGTACAAAGATGAACAATTTTAGTGAAATTATATGTGAAATTGTTATTGTTATATTTTTCTGTATAATGTAATACAAAAATCTAGAGAGACAATGCTTTGATGAAAAAATAAGAATACAGGGGCAAGTCTATTTAACATTGAGTAAATGGCTATCTTGCTAAATTGGGGAGATATTGCAAGCTGGCAATGGTTTTGGCAACTAATTTTTGTCATTGCCAGACATGACGACATTTTGGTCTGTCCCCGTATCACCATAATAAGTACTGTAATCAAACACTATAATTGATTTCATATGCAACTGTAGCTGTATTAAGCCCCCATATGCCTTTCAGTAATTTTGAGAAGCAGAAAGTATTAGAAATATCTCGACAGCCGGGTGAAAAACTATATAAGATTAGACACAACATCAGTTTAATTGTTGAGAGTTATCAGTTCCAAGTGACTTCGGAGTATTGAAACATCCATGAATTTTAGATGTGCTTGTATTGCATTGCATTTAACGTTTTTAGTAGTTTGAAGTGTAACTGACTGCATTCTGTAATACTGCAAATACCTACATGCGTATTTTACATGGAAAGTTCCAGAAATCTGAAGTGTTCCCTTTTGTAAAATAAATTTTATCAGCATTGGACCAGTGGGCATTAAATCTATTAGGTACCCATACACACGCAACAATATATTAAAATGAAAATGGTGAAATTATGAATTTCTTATCAAATGTACTTCTTAAACAGACACTTTGAAGCTCCCATCTTGAGATTTTTTTCATTTTAGAAATGTATACATACATTTTGCTAGGTATAACATTTATTTCTCTTTCAGTATTCCTGCTTTTTCACTGAGATAATTTTTCCAACTTGTAATGATATTAGTAATAGAAATTCGAAGCTTGTTTTTTCCTTCTTCATAATAAAATGCTTGCTATGTCTTTAAGTAAAATAATTTTTACATTTTTTCAAATTCTAAGATACCTAGTGAGCCTAATGGTGATGATATCATTAATGATTTACTAATTCTTCTCAGGAAATTATTTATAAGCTCTTTATTGGTTGTTTCTAATTTTAGGCTTGCATTTTCAAGACCTAATTATCAACAAATTTATTTATATAAGAAAGAAAAGAAAATCCAAAAGATTTTAAATATCAGAGAAAGAGAATGCATTAACCTCTTCGTCGTCCATAAGGCGTCTAGCGCGTTCAAGTGAAACTTCTGCAGGGAGGCCATAAAGCGCCTCAAACGTTCTACATTATACCTCCTAGAGAGTAGCACTAATCAGGCATTCTTTTTCTAATTGAATTTGCCCCGGGTTTTATGAATATTCGCACCATTTTACATACGCTATAAGACAGTGAGAGATGGCTTCAACGACTACTCAGCAGAAAAAGAGAAAAAATGAGGTTGTGAATTGGAAAGACGAGAAGGATATGCGTTTGATGAGTACAGTCCATAATAACTCAATGATTGATGTTGGAACATGGAAAAAAAACTGTAAAAAAAACAAATAATTGTAAAAGATTACAACAACAAAATGGGAGGAGTGGACCGCATGGATCAGATGTAATCAAATTATCCTGCTGTTAGAAATAAGCAGAAATGTTATTATTTTTCCATTATGCTTTATTTCCTTATAATTTTACTTAATATTCATTGACATTCATCCACTACGAAAGTTATGTATGGGAAGTTATGATGTACAGAGAAAACAACATTACACGCTACGAAAAACAGACGGCCACTGGAGGGAAATTTTCATGGACAGGAGAAGACGGCGAAAGGGTTAACATTGTTGTTGTTGTTGTTGTTGTGACTTATCTTGCTTGTCTGGCAGCTGTAACTTTAGAAAAAGCCCACGATATTCATTGTAGAAGGACTGCAAGATTACACTTGCTGTTGACAAGAGCCTTGAGCACCATACAGGTGATATAACAACTTTGCTCAGTTCTACCCCCAATTTTGAAGGACAGCACCCCATAATGCTACTGAGGAGGCATCCGACTTAATGTAAAAGTCAAACCGAATAATGCCTGCTCAGTGGAAAATCTACTAACCAACAGCCTCCACTGCCAAGAGAGGCAGAATTGACAGATGAATATACTAAATCAGTGGTAATTTGTTGCACAGTTAAAGAGAGAAACTAAAAAATCTTGCATAGAGTGCATCGACTAATTCATTTTGGAAGTTGAAACTTAATTTAAAAGAGTTTAAGTCGAAGTAAAGGGTGGTGAGGTTATCATTGATGAATCAATCAGAATTGATTCAGATAGAGTAAAGCTAATAGCAGTTAATATGATGCTAATAAGTTTTAATCCAGAGTTTACAAGTCACTATGATTCTTACAAGCCTCATTATGAGAGTCGTTTGCTATGTTTGCAATTCACTACAAGCAGTATTTATTTGCCTAGTTTCAACAATCACCAATGTTGAATCACACCAGTCATTATTAAATCGTTTTTGCATCAATCAAATTAAATTTTCATCAAATTAAATAAAAATTGTCATCAAATTAAATTAGTTTAATTGAGCCTTCAAATTTTTAATATGATACCAATCAATTTTTACCTACGCATCCAAGGGTCTTTCACCACTCTTTCCTTACCACCAACCTCTGAAAAGGACTTTCGGCTCGTCGTCGCATATTTAGAGTGCCCCATGCCACACAGATGGTGTACATTTACACACATCCATAACTTTCAATCAAAAACAAAGTCCGACATTAAGAATCAGTGTAAATTTTTACGTTACAAACTGTAACGTTATGTGAAAAAATGTTGCAAATTATTAAGGAATGTTAAATTAAGGATGTAAAAATTGAAAATGTTTTTGAGAAAAGTACGAATAAAGTATTTTGAAGTAAAATTTAATTTTAATTTAGATTTTGAAAACTGTTTAAAAATGTTATATTTAACGAAAGAAATTTATTATAAAATTCTAAATTTATTAAAACTGTATTTCAACTGGTTTAATCAAAACTTCATTAAATACTGGCCAAAAGTAAGGAAAATTAGAAAAAGATAAAAATCTTCACTCAATTCGGGCTATAATTGAGAAGAGTTGGCCCTTCATTAGTAAAAGGAAAGAATCTAGTATTGATTAAATATACATATTTACAAATTTTTACAATAAATATTTACAAGACAATCCCTTAACTCTTCAAAATCCTCCATTACCCTCCAGTTAAGGTTTAAGGTAATGTTATCATACCATAAAGAGTAAAAAAATTATAAAGAAAAGTTAATGCCTGCCTTTTTAAATATATAAATTAATAAATTGTGTAGGGACTTTGTTATTAACTTGAACATTAATTAGTTTTATTATTTCTTCCTTTAAATCTTCTATTTTAGTACATATGTTTTTTATTCTGATTATTTGGCTATAAAAAGTGTTTAATATTACTTTTCTAGAGATATTAGAGTTCCAATTAATTAGTTTAATAGTATTAAATTGGAAATTCCTCCTTTTATCATATAATTTAATTTTGCTGTGTTTAATAATGAGCAGGAATTGGTATTCAATAGTATCTTGATTCGTATTAGTTTTATTAAGTGTTAAACTATTTGGGTAAATTTTGTATTGCTCAAAAGCAGAATTATTATTGAAAGTTATAATATCATCTATGTATAAGAATCACTAACCACTAGCCCATCTTGACAGCATTTTTTTCTGCACTTTTTTTTGTTGCGCACCTGCCACATATTTTGACACATGTGTGCATACCAGAAAAGTACAGTGTGTGTATGCATGCATAACAGAAAAATACCTGTCATGTAGCTGCCATTTGTAAACTATTCTTGTAACTAAGAACTTTTTACACATACATACACACACACACACACAAAAAAAAAAAAAAAAAAAAAACTCATAGAGAACAGTTTTTTATATTCATAAATTAAAACTAAATACTTAGCAGCTAAATAAAAAGCTGACCACATAACCTCCCCCCTGAAACTATGAAATTCTTTCCTGGTTGAGAAACCCTGAATTATACAATTTGTAATTCTGTAGCATACATCAATGAACAAGTTATACTGTTAATTATCATAAAATAAAAGGAATTTTACCAGATTTAGAAAAAATATTGCGAACACATCAAAACAATACTCACAATTTTCCACTCGTTTTTTCTTTTTTCCACTCTTTCCGCTAGTACTACTGATGCTGCCTACAACATGTGGTCTGGCAGAACGATGCTTAATTTTTCGAGGACGTCTGACTTCAAGTTCTTGATTGTTATTTTGTTCTGCATTTTCAATTCTGACAAATAGAAATTTTCATTCTTTTTCAGTCACTGTAATTTTGAGATGAATGTAAAACATTTTTGAATAATAATTTAGTACACATTACATTCACAGAAATAACCACTGCAAATATGCAGATTAGAGAGGATAATACCAGAAAAAAAAAAGAAGGTAAGCTTAAACACTAGAACTTCTTTATACAGGAAAATTTAAAAAAAAAAAAATACCTAAAAATATTTAAAATGAATAGAATCTGTGAATTTATTATGGAAATGTCAAATTACCCCTCTTAGATAATTTATTGGGAAAATTATCTAAGAGGGGTAATTTCACAGTTATGACTTTATTTGAACCTTTGAAACTTTGAAACTTGACCTTTGAAACTTTATTTACTTTTTGTACAGGCAAAGTACACGCTTTTAAATTATATCATAAGCTTTAACAGTGGCATGCCATGATTTTCACTGAAAGGGAGTAGAAAAGAATAAAAATAATAATCCTCTTTATGATGGTCGTTTACAGTAGGTAGTCACTTTTAGAGACGTGAAATTCAGTAATAGCGTTTTATTTATATCTCAGAAATACTGGTAACTTTTAGAAGTGATTATTTTAGGGAGATAGTTCTCACAACACAGTTTATTGCAATACTTCCCTTATTAAGCAGCCACTGCATAAAATTTTGGCAACATGTGAAATCTACATGTTACAAATTGACTCGTTATATTTCCCAGCTTTGGCAATTAACAAGCTAACTGCCTAAGCTGATATAGTATATCTGTTACACATGCCAAGATCCTATCTGCACTTTTTTTGCATTTAAATTATTTTCTGTTGCTTTATTATTTACATCTAAATACAACATATTACTTTTAATGTTAAACAAATTCCCACAAGTATACTCCTAGTTGTCACATGAAAGAATAATTTTGCTCCCTGTGCCAACTATGAGGTAACTCAGAACTAAATAAACAATGTTCACGTTTTGTTCATTCACGTGAAACTCCTGCATATGGACACATTATTTTCCATTACTCTTATACGAGTCACTTAACAAGAAAATAGGCAGTCCATTTATAATATTTTCCAAGTAAATAAACTAATAAAAGAAGAAATGATTTTCCCCTTCCTGTAAGCTAAACACTGAATGCACTTGCTATGGCAATACTCATATTCAGTGATTTAGGTACAGCAATCAAAAATGAGTTATCTCATAGCTGATAAATAAACTCTTTGTCAACTAAGAGTATTTCGAGGTAGTGGACGTGTTAAACATGGTCTCCACTTTAACAAGAAAATAATTTTATTGTATTTTGACTAATAATATAACATAAAAAGTAAAATTATACATAATAAGCTCCAAAACATTTATGGAAATTGAATAAAGATGAGCAATCAAAATGATCATAGCATAATAAATAAATAAATTAGTACTTACATATTATTCTATCGACCACAAAACTCTTTCCAAGCCGCACAATTTAGCTCTAATAATGGATAAACGTGACATCACAACACACTCATAACATCTGTGTTATCATTTGAAGTATCCCCAATTAATTCTCACAAACCACCTTTTGTTTTTTTAAACAAAAATATAAATTAATTCTTATTGCAGCACTTTTCTTGCATTTTGAAAAAAATATATATGGGTTTGAAGACTACAGAATCAGATTTGTGACTACAATTTGATTAATTTACAGCTGGTATAGAGTAGTAACATCATTTAGAGAACAAGAACAGTTGGTTATGGCCGACAAAACAGCAACAGATCAGAACTGTCACCAGTGGGAATTTCATAATATTCTAAACAGAGCTTCTGGTATAATCAGAGAGCCTAACAAAATAGGAAAAAATCAATAAAGTGCAGAAATGAAGCAAGTCGAACACTTCCACAGCAGTGTCCAGTTGGTGGATTGTGCACAGAGACTGATGAATATTTCATTGTAAGAAATGCAGATAGAAGTGCAGCTCAGAATTCTATAAGAATTACTACAATTTTGGCAGGATTTCTGCAAATTTTCATGGTTCGATGAAAGCCAATTTTTATGGTCTCCAGGATAATAGTAAATAGCAATATTTTAAATTTCATGGCAAAAGTTTTTTATTTTTTTTTTTTATTTTTTTTTTTTTTTATTTTTTATTTTTTTATTTTTTTTTTATTTTTTTTTTTTTTTGTTAAAGCAGCCACTGCAATCGATTTGGTGACAATTTAAATGAATTGGTGAAATCAATAACACAATTTTCAAAAAATGAAAACGCATAATGTACAATAGAAAATAAAACTTATTTATCTTTGTGGAGGCCATAATTCAGTAACTGCTGTTATTATAGAATCAAATATTGGTACTTTCTGATTTTCACCCTTATTTCACTATCTGTTGCATTATCTGAAGGAAGTTAGTTCTTCAGCTTAAAAGTATATGAACCACAAAACAGTAAGAAAAGTAATTCTGGAATCATGAAACAAATTAATGATATGAAGATTTTTTCTCTTTGCATTTTTACAAATACTTTACCTCTCGGTAAAATTGATTGCTGGTTTTGCATTTTCACATCCAAAAATTCGTTTCTTGAAGGAAAAAAACACTGTTTCTTTTTCAATTGATGACAAGTTAAATACAATTAACATTTTAGAAAGGGTAATAAGAAAAAAAATAAATAATATTGCAAAGAAATCATTTTTATTTTCCAGTTAACAGAAAGTTTAAAATGGTCACTATTTTAGAAGGGGGAAAAGTAATGAGGGAATGATATGATGCAGTCTAAAGTGAGCATAAATAATAATTTTTATATTCATTATGTTGCAAATTATAAAAATAAAATAAAATAAAGAAAAAGAAAATACTGTTTCTCTTCTAACTGATTATTAATATTTTAGAGAAATATAATTACTGAATTGACGACATCATGTGGACAACTTGATAATCAAAACAGTCTGAAAATTAAACACACTGCATGTTAAAAATCCATCCATTTAGTTTGCCAATTCTGGTGACTAATCTTCTGATTCTGGTGACCATGCTAACAAGGAAGAAGTAAATAAGTATTTTTTATCTCAAAAAGAAAAAAAGGCCAGCAAAAGGAAGTACAGTCAAAAGTCATTAATTCGGACACCCATAATCCGGACCTCAAAGCTACAAACTTTCTGCTCATGCTTCGCATTGGCGCATGTGCATAAGACCTTTACTACTGCGAATATGCGTGTGCACATGCGCATAATACGTTTACGCATGCGTGTTTAATGTATAACGGATGGTATAAGCTAAGCTAAAATTATCTAATTCAGTTAATGTTGCAGATTGCATTGTTCCTTAATCTTTGAATTTTATCCAGCTTTTTATTTTTTTTTTTTTTTTTTTTTTTTTTTTTTTGCAGACTGTTAGAGCAATTTTATAAAAGTAAGCTTGAACTTTTGATTATGCCAAATAGAATTTCCGATATTTTTAATTTTATAATTTCTGCATGCCATCTTACCAGATTTAAACTGATGATCTATAATCCAGAAAAATCGATAATCCGGAATCACCGAAGTCCCAACGAGTCCGGATTAACAACTTTTGACTGTACTTCTTAGTTCACAAACCATTTCAACATTATGTAATATTCCATTTGGAATGAAGACTGATATATTTCATCTTCATACAGATGAGAACATATGTAATATTCACAATCGCTTTTTATAGTACAGTTCTTTAAAATTATATTAGAATTCAGGAAACATAGTAGAGAAATTACTAATACAATACAGCCATGATACTGACAACTAATCAGTGCATTGTTATAAAATGGTTTCAGAAGTTGCTTCTGGAAGCTGCATAATGTTATCTTGGATGGCAACTAGCTTTTCATATTGCATCCCTCTCCACGTTGTTTAAAACTCGAATTACTGCATTAATATATTTTACTTTGAATTTTATCAAGAATACCTTCATGAAGAAGAAATAAAATATAGCACTAAATTAATTTCACTTGTTAAGAACCACAAGAAAATTAAACTTTCTTACAAACTAATACTACTAGTTAGCAGCATTTGTAAGATAGCTATAGGGACAGGTGAAGGGCAGCCAGTCATTGCTCACATAAAGCCAATGCAACCCAAGCTCTGTCCATCCAAGAAAAAAAACTGACTCTACTCTAATGGTTTCAAAAGGAGTAAAATGATGTCCCTTTCGATACCTTTGAATGTTAGACAGGGGTGTAGCTAGAGGGGGGCAAGGGGGACATCTATACCCTGGTGCAGAATCCAAGTGGTGCCAAACTGATGTTACGACATTTTAGAATTAAATGTTTTCCATCCTTGGCAAGCAGTAGGGGGCGCGAAATCTTCAGTTGCCCCTGGGTGCTGAAAACCCTAGCTACGACTCTGATGTTAGACCTCAAAGACCTATAGAATGTTAGAATATACTTGAAAGCATTGCGGTATCAACGTAGTTTCTCTAGTTTACTGACAGCACACAGCTGAGTTTTAAGCATTACTTCCGTGTAAAAATTTAAGCATAATTATAATTTAATGTAATGTTATTAACCAATTAAAATTTCTATACAAGATGAAAATATTTAATTTGGGATACCAACATTTTTTAGTTAAAAGTATATAAGAATAGCTACTAAAAGTAATCTGTTAATATCAAAAAATTAAATGTAATTATTTGACCATTATATGATACCAAAACATTTAAACTGCTACATGAAAGCCAACATTATTGGCATTCAAGATGGTCAGTCTTTTGGTGCCCCATATCAATTACACTTACTAATGCTTCAAATTAAAATTTACTTTTACACCAGAATCTCTCTTAACCGGCAACAACCAGACCTCACATTGATCCAAGATAAAAGATTTTGCAGATAATTGAATATATATTCCTAGAACTTACCAGTTCATGTTTTGTAATGCCATTTGTATAAATTGCAGGATGCAAAGTCTGTTGGTTATATTTTTTATCAACCATTATTAAAGAAGTAATATCGAAAATCGTACAAATTATTTAAAACACATATGATTTTAAATTTCAGAAAAATTAAAGATTAGAGTATATTTGAGGATGCCCTTTGGATTATTGCTAAATTGTTTTTTCATTTATGATAACCTGATTAGTCAAATGGTATGGAAATTCTATTATGACATAACTGGTTGGGTGACTGCAGTGAATTTTGAATGATGGGAAAAGATTTGTAAAGGCTTGTTTGTGTGTTGGATGTTGGGAAGTTGGGAAGACACAGAAATTTATACATAAGGTAAGTGGATATTTCCTTTGTGTAGTGTTAAGAAGAATTTCCTTTTTTTATGTTATTTCATTATTTGATTTCAAACATAGTTTATTGAGATTATATATTTTTGTTTGGCTTATTGAGATTATATATTTTTGTTTGGCTCTAGTGTAGAATTGGATGCTGCTTTGACTTTTTAAGTGAAAATATATTGATGTGTACATGGACAAAGTCAAGGGAGTGCGCAATGCCAAGTTTATGCAATTCATTGATTTTTTTTAATGAAAATAGGTCGATGTGTACACGGATACTGAGTTTGTGTGGTTAGAGTAGATTGAATGGTGCCCCTTGTATTATCGCAAAGTTGTTGTTTCATTTATGGTAACCTGAGTAGTTGAATGTTACAGAAACCCTACTATGACATAGTCGGTTGCATGATTGCGGTAAATTTTGAATGATGGGAAAAGATTTGTAAGAGCTTGTGGTGTGTATTGGTTAGGAAGTACATTGCTTGTTTTGTGGTTTAAATGTTAGAATGGCTGAATGTGGTAAGATTAATTTGAAGTTTCTATACGATTTGGAACGAAAGGGGAAAAGAGCATTAATTGAAAGATGTGTAAATGAAGGTTTATAGGTGTTCTGTTTGTAGGAAGGAAATTCATACGGTTGAATATCAGATGACACCAACACTACAGAGGATATTCTTAACTCTTTTTTATTTTTGTGAATTTATGTGGCGATGCCGATACACAGATTTAGGAAGTTTTTGGATGCTATTAAGGAATTTTGTGTGCCACAGTCTGAAGATGCAGAAATGTCTAAGGTAAGTGGATATTTGCTTTGTGTAGTGCTTAGATGCATAAGATGAATTTCCTTTTTTTAATATTATTTTAGTGTTTGATTTAAAATGTAGTTTATTGAGATTATGTATAGCTCTACTGTAGAACTGGGTGCTGCTTTGATTTTTTAAGGGAAAATAGATCGACGTATACATGAACAAAGTCAAGGGAGTGTGCAATGACAAGTTTGCGCAATTCTCTGATTTTTTTTAAAGTGAGAATAGGTAAATGTTTACATGGATAAAATCAAGGGAGTGCACAATGCCAAGTTTGGGCAATTCGCTGATGAATTTTTTAAGCGAAAATAGATTGATGTGTACATGGATACTGAGTTTGTGCAATTCTTTGACTTATTATTTTGTCTTTGTGTAGCACCAATTTTTGGTGCAAAAATCGCCACTACACAAAGCCAAAATAACAAGTCAAAGACCTGCACAAACTCGGGGTCCATGTACTGCCAAAAATTGCTAATTTCCCATAAATATATTTTTACCAAATTAAAATTTTAAATTAACCATAGTACAAAGAGCAAGATTCAAAACAGTCCAGATTTAGGTGATTCCGGATTTTAGATCATCACTTTAAATCCAGTAAGATGATATGTAGACATAACAACCCTGGGGTTTCCTTTATTGTTTAGATCAAACAGAAAAATGCTAACCCGCATAACCACTCTCAGTAGCAGAAAATGTGCTCCTGGAGAACATCGATACAATATAAATCAATATATAGTCATTGGGCACGGTGCCACTTCCCAAGCTACCAGGTGCCTGAATGTTACATGAAGGAATGTCAGTTAGTGCAGAGAAAAATTGCATTTACCACCTTTTTTTCTTGAGGAAGCATGTGTTTTAATCAATATTCTACATTCATAGATTTTCTGTTATATTATTTTCTTTACTTATTGATTCCCCCCCTCCTGGTGGACCAGAGGTGCTGATATTAAATCATTCAGCATATTGAATGTTCAGATTTCAGATTATATATTATCAAATAAAGGTTACAAATTTCTTAATGAGATGACATAGTAACTATGAATGTCTGCCTGCTTATCAGATTGTCACCAAACTCCTCTGTTCCAAACGTGTAACTAAATCCAAAGTCGGACACAGGTGCCAGATGCGTTTTAAAACCAAAAAAATATTCATCACTCGAGTTGTAATTTATGAAGAATGTCATCATGAACATCATTTAGGCTACAATTTACACAATTGCCAAAGTGATATATTTTGCATCTTCCCAGGGAAGAGCCAAAGTAAATGTTTCATCTTTCTATATAAAGTTATTATATATTTACGGACACTACCTTCAAATACAAGTTCAAATACAAAATGAAACAGGTTATCTTTATTTCCTGGATAATTCATTAGTAATGCATGCATTGTAAAATACTTGAATAGTGGTTTTAATAGCAAATTTTAATACAAAAGCAAAATGGGTGCCAAATAACATTTAAACCACATATACAATAAAATTTTTAAAAAAAGATTAAACTTAGGTTGGTAAAATTATAAAATATACGAAACAATCCCAACCATCTTGGCAGAAGTCGCAAAATTTTCAGAATGTGTCAAACTCGAGCACATAATTCACATGACTATTCATCAGGCAATAACCATAACAATCCTTCAGTCAAGCAATGCCACCATTTTGATATACATTCTTTTAGTTGTATTCCAAATTCCAAAGTTTTTATAGGCAAATCGTGATATTTTTTGTCTTAAACAATATTTTAAAATATTGCTTGCTGAATTAGCCAGCAATGGAAGAAACTGTGCTTAAAATTCAGCAGAAATACGATATTTTAGTATGCAGCACCAAGTTTGTGCAATTCCTTGATGCTTTTTCAAGTGAAAACAGATTCTTGCATATATAAGAAGAACAGTGCTAATACATTACAGAAGGATATCATGAAAAATGTGTTCTATTTTTTAATTGATCATATAATTCTTATTTAATAATTAAAATTTCTATTTTATAGGTTTTTTTCTTTGCATAAGTTGACAGTGTTTGCCTACTTAACCACCCAAGGCCCAAAAGTGTGATCCTAATCTACATCAATATGTCAATCAATTCATTGTCACTGGTTCACTGTCATTAGTTTGAAAATGACATGTGGGAATAAAAATCATGGCACACATGTTTTCTTTTGTTGAGATATTCCTCTTTCCTAGACTTTGCAAGCAGGCAAGAGAATTTTTCTTGTATTTTAATTTCATATTTATTTACTTATCGGATTTTGATGTCCAGATATTAGATTTTCCCAGACATTGGACCTCTGGATTTCAGACTTTATTATATATTATTGTTCTCATTATAGTCTTCATATTCAAAACACAGTATATCCTGACATAGTGATCACCTTCCTAAGGCATGAAACCTTCACAGAAGACCAAATTGGTGTGGAACTGTGGATGGTTATCTTAGAGATTACAATTTTTCTTTCTAGCTATTCCCCTCTGGTGAAAACCATGGCATGCCACTTAGCCCTTTATTATTATTTGAAGATTAGGCCATATGCTGTGCTTTTCATGGATTGAAGATTAATTGAACAGATTAATTCCTTTAATTATAGAAGTCTATTTTAAATTTAAGTCATTATCATAACATTTGTCAAGCACTATACTTGTTACTTCAAAATATTTCCACAAAAATAAACAGTAACTGTTATCTAATTCCTACTATTAATATGTAAATTTTAAAAAGGAGCATTTAAAAAAAAATTCCCTTAAAAGTGCAAACATTAATTACATAGTATGATTAAACCATTTACAAAACTCTTTTGATACTATTTGCATACTAAATTAAGAAAATATACTGCAATTTATCAACTGCTCTCAGTAACTCTATTAAACACTTTAATGATATTTGATTGAATTTTGAAATTTTAATAAATATTAAATTCTGAATTCTCTTTTGACCCAAATTTTCTCTAATTTATATAAATTAATTTCCTTCACACAGATACCATACAATATCATTAAACTACTTATGTTACTTTAAAAGACTGCTGGTACTTTTTTGTTATCGGGACCAGATTCAGAAATATGTATATTCATATGTATGTCTGCACACAAAAATACATTTCAGAATCTGGTTCCAAAAGCAGAAAAGTACCAGACTGTTATATCTCTTGATAAAACAAAAATATGAAGAATAAATTATTTTATTGTGAGAAAAGGAATGTGCATGATTTTCATTCTCAATTCTGTGCAGGATTCTTTCAGGATGAAATGCACTTCGACTTCCAGTTTTTTTATTACTTTTCAATGTCATATTTATACTTACCTTTCAAACAACAGTGTTATGCAATGTTTTTCAAAGAGTTAACAAACATAAATATCAAAATAAAAGTTATAATAGTGACTATGATTTATAAGAGTTACAATCGTGACTTTGATTTTTCCTTCAAAAAGCTTTAATAAAAAATGAAAACAAGAACTTGGCCAAAGTATTAAATATAAAAATCTCAGATATCATCCTAGAAACTATCAACATGCAGTTTCAATGCAAGAATACATACAATGTCTACATATTTTATCTTCCTCATCAACTAAAAGTAAACAAGCAGTTTTTTATAGCTTTTCATGGTGGTTTATTTCTTTTTTTCCTCCTCCCTGATAACTCTATTATTTCGAATTTAAAATCACCTAAATTTTACTCCACAAGTATACTTTTAGAAATTTTTAGGCTTGAACTGATTCATGAGAAGAGTAGCAGATGAAACGGTTAAAAACGCAAAACTCAAACTAATTAATAAAATTTATTAGAAACAATAAAATGAAAATAATATGTATTAAACTCACTCATCCAAAACATCCTCAATGGAATCAGGATACGGATTAGAGATATTGGATGATTTTCTAATTACCCCCATATTATTATGTCTCCAAAATTAGTTAAGATGGCTTAAATACGATTGTAGTAACAAAAGCAGATGTTTAGTTTTCACACGAAAAACATATTACGTCTGTTGAGTATTTCGAGTCACCAGCTTGCAGAAACGTACACAACCACGAGCCAATGTGTACAAACAAACTTCAGATACTAACATTCTCCGCTAAACGCCCTTTCCTCTATAATTTTTTTTTTTTTTTCCTCCTTCCTTCTACTGGTAGGACATGTTCTTATTTAGATTACTATAGAAAATAAAAAAAATTACGCAATGGTGGCGCTAGTGTTTCTTTTTAAAAGGCACTATTTGGCTGCGAAGTGTCTACCCATCCGACGATGGACTAACCGTCCAAACCACAACGGGAATGCTAAACGTGCGACTAGTTGCGCAAAGGCATGTTTTCGAAATCTACGCGTCAGCGTTAGGCCTCCGAGAATTAAGAGCCCACCGAGATTCGGTGGTGTTGGATAAGGCACTATACTAGTTGGCCATGATCCACTTCGCTCCCGCAGACCAAGGTCCGTAGAAAGACCCGCAGACAAGGTTAAAGGACCAGGAGGAAAAGAGGACCCGAGAAGACATCAAGTGCAAACCCGAGTACTGCAATATCAACCGCAAAAAAAAGCTGATATTTCTAGTCCCCCCCCCTCCTTTTTTTTTTTTTTTTTTTTTTTTTTTTAGAAAGAAACACTTCTTTTGGGCAAATATATAATTATTACATCAGTAAGTAACTGTTAAAATGCATTTCTTTTTACATTTTCTTTAAAATTTAAGGGGCGAAGTTTACTTTGTTTACACATTTTAAATGCTTGAAACTTCTTTAAATATTAGAATATTTGAACTCAGTTTTTTGCATACGATGTAGTTACGCATATGGAATATTATGACAGTAAAAAAAAAACAAATTCAATATTTTGGTTAATTTTTAGCTATTTTAAAGTCCAGGACGCCTATTCTATGATCACTGGATCTGTCTACAACTTGAGCGAACAATATTAACTCAAAAAAAACCGGTATGAACAGCCATCAACAACTTATCGGAGAAAGCCATTCTGTGGTCCTCAGTTGGTGGGCGGGTGGGTCCATTTAACTTTACTGAAAGGGGACAAGGCTTCAAGGAGCTTTAGACCAATCGCAGTACAGACGAGTGACGAAATTTATAGCGCGCGCTGGCTGAAGTTCTAGGAATATTCTCCTATTATTTCACTAACTCACACGCTGCATTTGTAGTTCGAAAAAAATTGCACAAAACAGTATTATGACCAACACGCAGCAGAATATGCTGCTGTGTTATGTGAAGGAAAATTCCGTTTTTTAAGGGGAAACTTAACGCAGGAATTTAGAGCTAAGAAATAAAGAGTGATATGGGATACCACGAAAGCAATGGTAAATAGATAAAAGTAAATGAATTAAGCTTACTTCAAATCCTTTTAGAAATAAACAATTTTAATCATTTAAATTTATAATATGATTAATTTGCATTACAATCTAATAGCAAACTAAGTTTTTTTTTTTTTTTTTCCCATGCTTACATTAAAAGGTTTTCACGCAATTTATTTTACAGTTACTATTGGAAAAATATTTCTTAAGTAAGAAATTTAGAAAGAAATATTTCTTTCTTAATATTTCTTCCCCTTTTTTATTTTATTATTTTTTTTCTATGAAAATTATTTCTTTCAGGAAAAGAAATAAAATTCATTCGCTATTACAGTATGGCCGATTGCTGCTGCATTCAACTATCACACACGCATCAAAATGCTTTATTTTAAATAATTTATTCTATAATTAACATGAAAGAAAATATTTTTTCAATATAAAATATATAACCAAAATTAAACTAATCTATCCTGTATGTGTGATTAATTCGTTTTGCAATTTTTGTCACACAATTACTAATACCTTTTTTTTTAATATTACATTGCTGTTATTTGAATTTTTTATATATATAAGAACTGCTCAGTTTAAATATTCTTCCTTCTCAAAAGATTTTATTCTGTGAAAATAATTAAAAGATAGTAATATTTTCACAGTGCAAGTACTAAAGTAAAAAAAAAATCAGTGTAGGTCTCCTGCAGTTGAAGTCCTTGTCAAACCAGCGTTTCGACACATTTTAAATAGAAAACTAATAATAATCAATATCTCTTTTACAATATAAAAATGAGAATGCTATGAACAGTATTTTTTTTTTTTTTTTTTTTTAATTTGCAAAGAAACAATGATTTTTTAATACTATAATAGGTTACAAAAGTACTATTCCATGAACAAACCCTCAGTCTTATAGCATTGTTACTTTATAGCATAATACAATAATAATGCAGTATAATTCTGCTAACAAGCCCACCAGCCGCCGAGCGGTAGAGTCGCTGAACGCAGGTAGTTTGGTCCGAGGTTCGAATCCCGCGAACGAGCTGGCCGGCGTTTTCGTGGCTTTCCCATGTGTAACGTGTATACGAGCCAGTTTCCCTTAGAAAGTCCTCACTTAGAAACCAGTTTTAAAACGTAATAAAATTACACACACACACACAATAATAATAATAATAATAATAAATAAAAATAAATAAATAAAAAATCTGAAAGCCTTCAGATTTTATATTACTTCCCAAAGGGCCATTTTTTTAACGTTTTGCGTGTTACCTTTATTTATTAAATATCATGTTTTTCGCACTTAAACCATAAAATTCAATTCAACAGCAATATCATATAATTTAAAAAAAGCATATCTTTAGAATTTCCGATACATAGTCTCGCGCGCTAGAGATGAAAATGTTTTTTTCCGTACAATGTTGCCATTGCTCGCTTTGAAATCGTTGGGTTTCTTAATCAAAAACTCATAAATGCTTTACAAAATATGAAATAGATAATAAAACAAATTCCAGTTCCAAATTTGGGCCTCCAGATGCCTATATTAGGATGGAGGATTACGTTATTCAGAATTTCATGGCTCTAGGTACCGTTGTTTTATCACAGTGCGAGAAACATTCATACATTCTGCAGATTCCTCATTATTTAATTTCTTTAAATATAATAGAGTGCGATAATACTTGGTGGCAACGATTTGAAAAGTGAAACGCCACAAAATGGCAAAACGAAATTAATAGCCCCTGGGCTAAAACTTATTTTTAAAAGTATCACACTAGTAGTAGTACTGCTACTGAAAAAATATTATAAAGCTATTTTATAGTTTTATATATTTTTTTTTAATTTTTATTTTACAGTAGTGTGAATTTCGCGTAATAATGAACGACATTCCTTTTGTGTTCACAGTATTATTCGTAAGGTATTCAACTGTTAGATTTTAAAGTAAACGTAATTCTTGCTGTACATAAATCGAGTAGAAGCTTATCGGATGTCTATATTTGTATTAAATGAAGAAAGGTTTATGTGCTTGATAAACTTATTATCTTCTACATTTTTAAAGCATACAATTACAATTTATATCTATAATTTCAGGAATAGTATAACCTTTCTTTCAGTAGAAATTGCGTTCTTGTTTTCTGAATGTGGCTCCAAATACTCTCTCAGTTCATCGCAAATTAAAATAACTATAAATTTTGGCAATCTGAAATACGCAATGAAAACATCTTTTGGCAGAGCAAAAGCATCAACATATTTTCTATAAATTCGCCACCGATTCAGAGATCTACGACCGTATTCTTCGTTTAAATATGAAAAAATCAGCGGCGAAAACACATACAAAGCCATTGTCTACTTAGTACGTCAACTGCACAACCCTGATTGACGACGCGGCAACATTTTTTTCACGCGCTTTCGACAACTTCCGTACTCAGAGAATATAGGATGTCGGGCAGACCTGTTTTTTACTAGCAGCGACATCTGGCGGCCCACAACTTGCTGTCGACTCTCGTAGCGTAGAATAACCGTCCAGGAAAATTGGCACCTACCTTTTTTGCGATATACAGAGAGCGATGGTTCATCCTCGTCATTACAGAGATCGACGCGTCGGAATTTTGTCACTGGACGTCGTTTTTTCTGACTGTTTTTAGCTAAACGAGCGGCATCCGGATTGTTTTGAAAGTGTACGTAATAGATATTTTAATTTCTTAAGATTTGTGAAAAACTCGAGTATTTCGCTATAGAAATAACGCATTTGATGCTGACGATTCTACATTATTTATTATTCTACATTACCAATGCCTTAATTAAATTTTAGTGAAATAATATATTTGATGTTTTCCTATTCACATATAAAGAAGGGGTGCATACTTTTAATTTAGCATTGTAATTTTTAAACTAATGTATATATCAATGTACTTAATTTCATCTTTTGATGAGTAATTTGTAAATTTTGAAATTTTATGTGTTAAATTATAATGTATTTCCCTCTACTTTTATTTTAATTTGTAGTGTATAAAAATGTAATAGATTAGACATATGCATTAAAGAATCTGTAGTATATAATTCAAACTATGCACATCCTAGATTCAATATTTACATTAAATTGCTTTGAGTTAAAAAATTATGTTTACGTTTCTTACATACCTGAAGTGTTTGAAAAGGCCATTTTTTTCTGCGTATAAAATATCCATTAACGTTCCCCATTTCTTTTTTCCATACTCTTACTAGACAGCAGCGTTTTTGCGAAAAAATTTCACATTTACTCGAACTCGATTTTTTTTTCTACCGCCATCCTCAGTAATAAGCACGTGCGAAACAGCTCCTTTGACAACAAACTACCCCCTTTCCCTGAGCCTGGAGCAATGCAGAGGTGAGATAGACTGGTTGCTATGCAATAAACGTCACTTCCGCACGGAATTCCACTTCACTTTCCACCGACGGAATTTGAAGTGGCCAGACTCGCTCTCCCTTCTGTTGTCGAGTGGAAAGAGAATCCCGACTGGTTTTCTGATATCGATTTCGACCGGTGTCCAGACTAGACCCGGAAGGCCGCCTTAGGAGGCGTATTTCCAAACCCTACCCCACTTTTCGAATTTTTGACGTCACGGAACTAGTTTCACCTGGCAAATAGAAGATTGCGTACCCCACTTTTGACTACTACGGCGAGCTTTCGAAAGAATTGTGGTGCTAAATACTGTGTTTAGGTGCTAATTGTGAGATTTTGGCAATTTAAATTATTATGAGTGGAAATCTATGCAAAATCTTTAGTGAATGGTTATTGTTTATCGGCGTAGTGTATTCGAAAAAAGAGAAGAATAATTCACTGCTGATATATACATTAACAGTATGAAAAATCTGGAAGGTGATACTCAGCAATAAATGTGGCTCATTCAT